TGTTGCAAAAGAATTAAGTGATGAAGTCAAAGTTTTACATCAAATTCGTGATTTATTGGCTCATAAAATAATTTCTTTTCATCCACATAAAAAAGAACATTGAATAGTTGAGGAAATATTTTATTTAAAAAAAAAATTAATAAAATGAAAGAAATTCTACTCACCAAATATGATCATTACGTCAGAGTAGTACACTAAATAGTTTATCATAATTATAGAAAAAACCTCAAACAACTCGTATTAGTATATACACCTTCAAAAGAAAAATATGACTAGTATTCTATTTCATACATTGACACATAAACATGAAAATGCTCTTCATACAAACGGTGTTCTTTCACGTAAAATGCATATGTATAAATATTTATTTAATATCTACATAGATTTAAGTAGCAGCAGTGAGTGGGGTGTGGCTGTGGCTGTAAGAGTGGATGTTGGTGTGGGTGAGTGTGATTGTAATCCTTTGTTCGACCACCCACACCAAAATGAAACTTTACAAGACTTGATATCATGTTACAATCGTGCTATAACCTGGTCGAAATTGACAATGTCTTACTGTTGAATGTATTATGCCTGAAGCATTTCATTTTGCTAAATCAGGTAGAAAACCACTTACGAGAAATGGACATCTATAATAGAATAAAAAATATTTATATATATGTTCAGGACTCCTATCGAAGAGTTCTCTTTCAATTTGATTTATCATCAGAGCTAATAACCAGGAAAAAACACAACGTGCTTCTCCTTTTATAATGATAATTGATTGATATTGTACATAATGTAGACATATGTATATCATTAATATCTTTCGTTCTGTTAAGGCATCGTATAATCGGATAAGGCATGCGACTAATGTATCGATTTAGTTCTATCTCTTAGTTGTAGAATCATAATAATAAATTTTCATAAAGGGAGGGTGTGGGTGTGGGTGTGGGTGTGGGTGTGGGTGTAGGCGTGGGTGGGTGCGGGTATGGGGTGTGGTTGTGTGTTGTCGAAGACAAGATTCCACCGCCCACACCCACACCCACACCCACCCACATCCACCCCTTCATAAAGGGAGGGTGTGGGTGTGGGTGTATGTGGGTGTGGGTGTG